CCTTCCTCAGTTTTCCCAATATCACCTGATGACCTAAACTCCCACTTTATATCGGTTTCCACCTCTTCTTTACCATCCCCTTCCGGCTTTTCTCCAGAGGTACCTTTTAACGACAATAATTTTTATTTTTCCGACATTTCTCCCACAGACCTTATTACCGTTATAATGAAATCCCGTTCCAATTCCGTAGGCCCAGATGGCATTCCTATCAAACTAATAAAATTATGTCTCCCTGAAATCCTCCCAGCACTCCTTTTCATCTACAATTTCTCCCTGCAGAATTCAATATTCCCGACCTCTTGGAAAAAAGCCATTGTCCTTCCTTTAAACAAAAAGCCTAATCCATCCTCTCCCGAAGATTTCCGCCCAATATCAATCCTTTCCAATCTTTCTAAACCCCTAGAAAAGTTAGTGCAATCCCAAGTTTCCAACTTCCTTGAACAATCCAACCAACTCGATCCTCTCCAATCTGGCTTCCGTCCTGGCTACTCTACACAATCTGCTCTGATTAAAATTACTAGTGATATCCAGACTGCAATAGATGACAAAAAACTAACCATACTTATACTTCTTGATTTCTCTAAAGCTTTCGATTCCATTATCCATTCCATCCTTTTCAACAAACTAAAATCATTATCCTTCTCCAATAGTTCCATCTCTTGGTTCCAGTCTTTCCTCTCACAACGAACCCAAGCAGTTTCCATACCTAATCAACCTCTATCTGCCTACCTTCCTTTTTCCTCAGGAGTTGCACAGGGTTCAAGCATGTCTCCTCTTCTTTTCAGTTCTTATATTAATGACCTAAATGATACAATTATCCATTGTTCCCACCACCTTTATGCCGACGATTCTCAAATCTATTTATCCTTTTCTCCCGCTGAGTTATTGGTGGCATTTGCCAAAATTCAAGAAGATTTAGATCGAATTAGTGCCTGGGCCAACTTAAATGGATTAAGGCTAAATGCTGCCAAAACTCAGGCCATTCTCATTGGTTCCAAGCCCCTTCTTAGATCCCACACCAACTTTCCCTCACTCTATCTAAACAACCACCCCATCACCTTCTATCCCTTTGTTAAAAATTTAGGCTTTCTCATAGATCAAACCCTTTCCTGGAATCACCATATCTCTCATATATCCCGCCGTGCAATTTCTACCCTCAAACTATTCCATCACTTCCGCCATCGTCTACCCCAAAATACCCGTAGACTCCTAGTTTCCTCTCTCATCTTTCCCCACTTTGACTACAGCTGTGTGGTGTACGATGGCCTCTCGGTGGAACTGCGTGATAGACTCAAAAGACTTATGAATTGCTTCGTAAGATTTGTAATTGGAACCCCGAGACGCTCCCGTGTCTCCCACCACTACACTGAGTTAGGGTGGCTCTTCCCCTCCTTAAGAAGACAATATTTCCTTGGCACTTTCCTTTATCAAATCATTACCGATCATCGTCCTTCTTATGCCTACAACCTTCTCCAATTTAAGTCCTCAATCAATTCACTCACTACAAGATCCCGACCCTCTGACCTATACATCCCTTCTCATAGATCTGCCTCATTCCAAAATTCCTTTATAGCCCGCTCTGTCAACTTTTGGAATTCCCTCCCGATCAAAATTCGACATGCCCCTTCCCTGTACACATTCAAAAACCTCCTATTCCAATTCCTGTTCCAAAAACAGTCAGATACCAGCTAACTATTAATATTATATATGTATTGTGTAGCAATCATATAATCATAACACTTGGTAAGAGATAGTACATGCATTTCCTACTATCGACGTAGGAATTTCAATACATACATTTTTTTGTATTTTTTTTTTTTTATTCAATTATAAGTAACTGTTTATTTTTATATATATATTCAAGTAAAGTTTTTTTTTTTTTTTGTTTTTTTTTTATGAAATGAACTCATTGTATCTCTTTTTCGTTCTTCATTTCTCAAAGTGTATGTTTATGTTGTTCAACCCTTAAATATAATTTTGTTCATAGTTCAAGTGATTCGTTCATAGTTTTAATTGTTTTGTTCATAATTTTAAATGCTCTGTACATAGTTTTATCTGTATTGTATATAGCTTGTGCACCTTAGGTTTTCTTTACTTTTTAGTTTATTTTATCAATTTTATTTATTGTTTCAACGTTCAGGCCAGTAATATTCTATTATTTTGTACATTATTGTTATTCTGAAGGGACTTAGTCCCAGAATAAAGTTTTTTTTTCTATCTATCTATCTATCTACCAGACTTAAAAGACAACAGCTTAACCGACGATATGGCCAACTATTTAGACTACTCAATAGAAAATCTCAACTTTTAGTTGTGAACAAACTATTAATCTACAAGACAATCCTGAAACCTATCTGGACCTACGGACTCGAACTGTGGGGGACAGAAAAACTTTCTATCATCAAACGCATTCAATCCTTCCAGTTTAAAGTTATTCGAACAGTAGTCGATGCCCTCTTTTATATAACCCATGAAACCCTACACAATGACCTTAATATCCCATTTTTACTTGTCCTAATCTCAGACAAATTTTCAAAATTTCACCAGAATTTCACTCATCGTCCTAATCCTATAGCACAGTCTCTATCTACCTTCAGTCATCCCTACAACCCTCCTCGGAGGTTAAAACGGCAGTGGCACCGCTACCTTTTGTAAAAATGTATATACTGGAGTACTGGCACTGGCCAGATTCTTCACTCATGTCCTGAGCGTCTGTTGCTCTAGTGCCCTCCATCAGTCTCCACTGGCTTACTATACCACTGACGCGGCTGGGAGAGAAGCACTGGGATCTCCTGGAGTCCTGCTTTGGCTTCCACAATTGGGGGACAAAGCTTGATTCAGAGTCTCCTGAGCCAATGTAAATATTGTATATAGGTGTTAATGTGTTTTATTTATTTTGTTATCATTCGGCTAATCTGTTATTTTATTTATCTTGTATATTACTTTATCCTTTTATTTTTCTTCTTTCTCTTCTTACTTGGTTATTTTTATTTATTTTCCTTTCTTATGTACATATTGGGTGAATGAATACTATAGCCCTAGTACCAATGCCCTTCAGTGTGGAAGTCTGTATTAATACTCAATAAAACAAAAACAAAAAATTCTCTTTATGGAACTTCCTTATTAACAAATTATGTATTTACTAATTTGTTAATTATTAATTTTTAGGTCCGGTATAGGGAAGTTAGATCATTACCCTCTTAATTAGAGAAGGCCTACAGGTTGCAAAATACTTGTAAGAACAAGCTAAGAAAAAAAAATATTATAACGGTTATTATTCTGCAAGAAAAATAAAAAATAAATATAAAATGTTTGAGTCATCCTTCAAGGCCGGTTAAAAAAAATTGCTTTTAGAAATAAAATTTTTATTGACAATTTTAATCATTTGGATAATAAATAATCTGAAGTTATCTATTATCTTTTTATTTGTTGTTCGAGTTTTTCAATAGAAGTTGGAATAATTGAATTTATAAATTATTTTATTATCTAGTTTATGTAATTTTTTGGATTTGTAATAATTCTTAGAATCCACTATTTGCTAGTAGGAGGAGGGAGAGGGGGCGCTTTTTATGAAAATACTGGGTAGAGATTTAAATAAATAAATAAATAATACGGATTCACTATTTTCTAGACGTCGGAGCTTTTTATGAATATACTGTCAGATTGAAATTGTTCATCAGACTTTTGTAGCTTTTTGGATTTCCCATATATAAAAGTCCACTATTAAGTTGTCAATGACGCTTTTTATAAAAATAATTTCAGATTAAAGATTGCTCGATTGGAACTGGAAAATATTAATAAATAAAATGTATCTATTTATCATTATATAGACAAATATTTATTCCAGTAATGTCCAATTCCAATGGAACCCGTAGATCTGCCAATTATAGTTATAACTTAAAATTTATTTTCTTGTTTTAAACCCTATAATTTTTATTGAATGAATTGACTGCGTAATTATTGTTACGCAGTTTTGCTTAGTAATCCGAAAATGGGGACTTATTGTAGTCATTCGTAAAAAATAACAAAAAAAAGTGTTTATTTTCGAAAATAAACTTATTAAAAAAAAAATGTATTCAAGAGGAGGTTTCTGAACTTGATAAGTTTAAATAAAAACCTTATTTTTATAATTACTAGTTCTGATGAGCTTAAAATTTAATTTTATATGAAATCGAAATAGAATTTTTAATAGCTATGAAACTATGTAACAGCACACTTTCAATTATTGACCATTTGATTTCATGATATGGATAGGAAATGGTGTAACTGAAGCAACCATTAGGCATAGGCGTAGACTTTGATTTTGATTGGGAGCGGGATAAAAAAATAATAAAAAGGTAGGAGTTTTTATTAGGTTTAAAATATCAACATAATTTTGAAACAAGCAAATATAATATAGAATATTTAAAATTAACTTGTTTATATGTAATAAGAATATAATGTGAAACTTGAGGGATGATTGAATCATAAAATTCTAGGATACGTTGATATATATTATTATCTTTGAATATAAATAACAATTTAAATAAAAGTAACATTTAAATATCAATGAAATAGTTACATACCTAATAATAGGACCTAGCCTAGCTAGACGACATTTTGTAATCGATTTTAATTTACACATTATTCATTCATGTAGTTTATTTATTATTGATTTTAAATTCTCTGAAGTTTGTACTCTGTACTATGTACACCAGGGTAATGTTTTAATTCTGCCAAGTTTGAGACCTTTCTCTCTGTCTTCCTTTCCATATATTCTCTAGGTAATCAGCGACAAAGTGATTACTAAAAAAATAAAAAATATGGTAAAAATCTTTATCAGAAAATAATTATAAGCAGCATAAACAATTTTTAAAAGAACAGTACTGCTGAATTTTTTTTTATTGTTTACTAATTAGTACTAGAAAATTTTTTTCTACAGGAATTGTTCTTATACCATTAAATCCATATTATATTAGTAAAATTTGAGGAGACTAATGAATAGAAGATGTCTGTTGTAGGGCAGGTAGTTTCTTCTGAGGTGGTGATGGCTTCCGAGTCAGGCTGCCCTATCGAGGTTCATCAGATCCCAATCGACCCGGGAGACGAGATGTATGATCCGGAAGGAAAGGGTGGCAGGTCCATCCCTTTCCATCGTGCCAGCTACGACCCTTCGACAGGTCAGAGTCCCAACAGTCCCAGGGAGCAGGTAAGAGAATTAACAAAAGAAAGTCAAATCTGATTAATAATGATTCACTGAACAGTGTGTAAAAAATATGTATTCTTTATCTTAGAACATACCAAAAAGATTAGAATGATATTAAAAATGTTAGACGTTATTAGGAATTTCCAGATTGGAAATCTCTTGAATATGTATAATAATTTAATAAAATGAATAAAAGTATAATAATGGAATATAATTAATATTTTTTCTGTCGTGATGATGCCTGAATTAATGAAAACATGACGGGTTAGTTTATTTTTTATTTGTATTTTAAGGTGCGTTTAGATATTCCAGAAACTTAAGTGAAAAATAAATATCTAAATGGTTGTTTATCTATGTTGTTTTTTATTATGTTAAATTGTATCAATTAATTATAATTTTTAGTGCTGATTTGAGTTGGCAAATTATCATCTTATGAAAGAATGCTGTTTGAAAGAGTTAAGGCTTTATTTTGGAATCTTCCTATAATTCTTTAATTTAATTTTTATGAAATTCATTTTAAATTTGAAATAATAATTAAATTTCTCTACTTAATTATAAAAAATAATTATTTTAAAAGTGTATGCATTAAATAATTGAATGGTTTATTTCATCTCACTAAGTGATTTTAATTTTGTTGTTGATAGAAAAAAAATTGTTTATTAATAATTAAATGAAGAAATATCTTACTTATTCTATTCCTCTTATTAATGTGATTTAGAAAAAAAAAATTACTTTGTATAAAAATTAAAACTTTTTTAATTTTACATATATTTAGTTTTTTTGATGATGTCTAAATAATATAAAGAAAAATATTTATGAAAATAATAATTTTTTTTAGATAAATCGGGTAACAAGTTGGATCGATGGAAGCTTTATCTATTCTACCAGTGAAGCCTGGCTAAGTACGATGAGGTCATACAAGAACGGCACTCTATTAACAACACCAAATGGCAAATCTCCTGTGAAGAATACTATGAGGGTTCCGTTGTTCAACCAACCTGTTCCTCATGCATTGAGAACACTAAGCCCCGAGAGGTTGTTTTGTAAGTAACTGTAATAAAATTTTTAGCTAGAGAGACTATTGTATAACTGAAAATATTCTTAAAGCAATAATTGGTCAACAAATATCACATTGTATCATTTTAGTTGTATTGGATAAGTAGCTAAAATCTTTAAAAAATTAATTAGGAAGTTTCTTATATTATGTTCAGTGCTCATATTTATAATCAAGTTTAAATACACTAAAACCCAGCAATTGCATCCCAAATGCTTCAATCACACATCATAAATCTAGAAGAATGGTGTCAAAACTGGAGAATTAAAATAATCTCCAATAAATCCCACCAAATTACCTTTACCCTTCGTCGTAAACCAACGACTTCTTGTCCTACAGTTTCCTTTAACAATACTCCACTTATCCCTGTTGAGCAAATCCGATACCAAGGACTCCACCTGGACAAACGACTAACTTGGAATCCTCATACTAGACTGAAACGACAAGAAACCGCTCGACGTTTCCGATTACTTCAGCACTTACTAGACAAACGCTCTAAACTTCCCATTAATTACAAAAGACTTATATACTTGACTATAATAAGACCTATTTGGACTTACGGAATTGAGCTATGGGGCTCCACTAACCCATCGAATTCCTCTCGCATCCAATCCTTACAATCCAAAATCCTTCGTAAAATCCTCAATGCTCCTTACTTTGTCACTAATAAAATTATCCATAAAGATCTTAATGTTCCTTATGTTTCAGATCTGACCCAATCCAGATACCAATCCTTCCATAATAAACTTCAGAATCATCCCAACCCTCTCGTTCCTAACCTTGCTTCCTCTTCAATTCCTGATAACCCTCCGAGGCGTCTGAAAAGAAGATGGCCCCGTGATCTCCTAATATAGTCATATCATTAGAGTGCTACCATTGGGTAGTTACTCAGCAAGTGTATTCATGTCATTATATCAATTATGTCCAAATTTACTTGATGTATTTATGTAATACAGTTGTAAATGTCATAAAGAAATTAAAAAAAAAAAAATATATATACTAAAAGAAATAAGATTATTAATCATTATCTTTTTTTGTTCAGTATTGGGAGATCCTCGCTCAAATCAAAACCCTGCTTTGCTTGCTTTTTCTCTCTTGTGGTTCCGGTGGCATAATACTGTTGCTGCTAAAGTCCAGACTGATCACCCAGATTGGCCAGATGAAGAAGTATATCACCGAGCAAGAAGGATAGTTATCGCTAACCTACAGGTAAGGGTGAATGTGAATAAACTATAATCGATAGGAAATTATATTTGCCAACTATACCAGAAAATGTATTAATATTAATACTTGTAGAATATAGAATATATTCTATAGAAGTATTAAGTAGTATTAAGTAGAAGTATTAAATTTTAATACTAGTAGAATATAAGAGAGATGTATAAAGAGAGAGAAAGGAGTGGAAGGAAAATTAAATGTTGACAAAATAATGCATGTACAAGAAAAAAAAAAAGGGAGATATATATATATATATATATATATATATATATATATATATATATATATATATATATATATATATATAATATATATATATATATATATATATATATATATATATATATATATATATATATATATATAGAATAAAATAGAATAGAAAAATCATCTTTATTCTGGACTAGGTCCCTTTAGAATAACAGTATTGTTCATATATATTAACTACAAATCTGGTAAAAAGACTTATTACAATGAATAATGACAAAATACATGTAATACATTAAGTATTAATTAAGCTCTTAGGATAAATTAACGAGGACAGTTTGGTAATAGGGGTTCAGTACTACAATATTGGAGCTAAAATAATTGCATAATAATCACTGAATGAAATTATAAAGGAAAGTAAAATCTATTTTATAGGTAAAGCATTGTAGTGATGGAATATAAAAATTAAAAAAAATAATAATAACTGTTAATATGTAGGGAAAGAAATTGTAAAAACTAAAACAAAAAAATATATAAAAAAACAAATAATGATATACATATGTTCCCTAAGATATTTAAGTGATTATGCGTAAAGATTAGGAGAAGAGAAAATAAAGTAAAGTATATATATACACATAGCGAGAAGTATGTTGAAGATAATTAGAAATAAAATACATTTCACTGAAATACATTCCATGAATAACAAATTAGAACTTAAGGAAAACAAATTTTATCTACTCACAATGCTTAGTGAGTGGTGATGAAAATTCACGTTCAACACAGAATAAAACAATAAAAAATAAGAGAAAAAAAATAATGTCTAAAGAAAATTAAATCCTTATAACATAGTATTTAACCAGCGTCTGATTGGATTGTGAAGAGGAATTGGAATAAGAGGGATTATATATATATATATATATATATATATATATATATATATATATATATATATATATATATTTATTTATTTATTTATTTCTTATACTCATTTATATATTCAACTAGTTCTGTATATTTATATATAAGTTTTATTGATTGTCTAAGGATTAACTAGTTTGCTGTGTATCTGGCATTGCCAGATTGGGCAGAGTGGCAACCCAATATAATTGGCCAGCACGATTTTATATCAAAATAAAGTGTTTCTCTCTCTCCCAGATATGATAATAATATTAGCATATACATTAATTTTGTTTTGTTTTTTAATTATTTCAAATAATGATAAATACTGTTAATGTTTCAGAATATAATAGCATATGAATATTTGCCAGCTTTCATCAACAGGCAGTTGCCTCCATACCAAGGGTACAGGCTCGACACACACCCTGGAATATCTCATGTCTTTCAATCAGCCGCTTTTAGATTTGGTCATACGCTCATTCCACCAGGCATTTACGTGCGAGACGGCCAGTGCAAGTTCAAGAAATCGATGGGTCATCCTGCTCTTCGACTTTGTGCCCATTGGTGGGATTCTAGTGTGAGTTTTTATTCATTTCTTTCTTAGAGATTATTGATTAAACATAAACAATTATTTAGAATGTTAGGTAGTACATTTTATTTATTACTCGAGAATTTATAAGACTGATAACAAAAATTATGATTGTATTTTCATTTATTTTTTGCAAAAATTATTCAGATGATTGATCTTGTAGATTCGGGTATTAATGGAATCAGCATCAAACTTGTATGTTAACAAATCAGAATAAGCCACCTCATTTTTACTATTTTTTCAATATCTGTTTGCATTTTTGTTATCTTATTAGTGAATTTTCTTCATTAAGAGAATTTAATTTTAGTAATTCCGACTGCTCCAACACTTACTAGACAAACGCTCTACACTTTCAATTAATTACAAAAGACTCATCTACTTAACCATAATAAGACCTACATGAACATTTGGAGTTGAGCTTTGGGGCTCTACCAAACCATCGAATTCCTATCGTATCAAATCCTTATAATCAAAAATCCTTAATGTCTCATATTTGGTCACAAATAAAACCATTCATGAAGTGTTCTTAATGCTCCGTATGCAGCTGATTTAGCCCGAGCCAGTTACCTATCCTTTCATAATAAACTCCAGTCCCATCCGAATCCACTTATTTCCAGCCTTGCTTCTTCCTTGATTCCTGATAATCCCCCTAGGCGTCTGAAAAGAAGATGGCCTCATGATCTTCTTACCTAGAATTAAATAGGGAGTGCTACCACTGTGTCTTTTCAAGTACGTTCATGTCATTATTTCTAATGTGTGCATTTTTACTGGTTATATTTTTTATACAGTTGTAAATTTCATTAAATAAATAAAAATTATTAATAAATTGTGAACAGTTTTGTTTTGGTTTTTGTTGCATCTTCAATGTTTCTGAGTTATTTACCTATCTTTAGGAATACATTTCATATTTATTGACTTATCCATACTTAAGTATTTCTTTTCTGCACTGTACTCACAAGAATAATTTTTTCGTTTTTTAAAAACTTTAAGTTTTGTAATTTAAATGCTAGGAGGAGTGACTATTATGGTTAATTTTGTTTTGACTGAGCAGACCATAAAATGTCTCAAGTGACAAGTATACCACATAGTTTTTAAGAAATGTCAAAATAATATGTTCAGGAGTGAATTAGTTAAGTGTGGACATGCCAAAAATGTTAACAAATAAATTTAAATAAAAATAAAAATAAATGTTGACAAAAAAAAATCGATGGTACAGATTATTATTTATTAATATAGAAGGTTGTAATCTTTCTTGACTAATTTTAAATTATATGAAATGCATTTTTTTTTCCAGTTAGTAGTAATTTTTTTTTAAAATTATCAACCATTTGCCTAACTCCAGGTTTTTTTTATTAATGATGTTCCATCATTTAAAATGAATAAATTAATTTTTTCTTTCTAAGCATATTTTTAAAAATAATACTTTTAATATAATTTAAGTAACATTCATACTTAAAATAGGACTTATTTGCTGAAGAAAACAGCCTAGAAGAGATGCTCCTTGGAATGTGCTCTCAGCTAGCCGAGCGCGAGGATACAACTCTTTGCTCAGACGTTCGAGATCGTCTTTTTGGCCCAAATGAGTTCTCTAGAAGGGATTTGGGAGCTCTTAATATTATGAGAGGCAGAGACAATGGAGTACCTGACTACAACACGGTATCTATCATTATTATTATTGTATTATCTTTATTCAGAATATTTATTTAATGATTTATCATAGACAGAAAGTTGACTATTTTCTATTAACTTAGGTGCGGTCTTACTTTAGGCTATCAAGGCATAAGAAGTTTTCCGACATCAATCCTAAATTGTTTGAGAATGATCCAGATCTAGAACTGAGACTGCAGAGAGCATATGGATCAATAGATAATATTGACTTATACATTGGTAAATTTAAACAATAGTAATGTTAGTTGTAAAGTGATACATCCTAACTACTTAGTATATACCATTTTATTATACAATAACTTTTAGTTACTTTGCTATGAAATATTGAAATTAAATTACTAAACAAATGTATAAAACGTTTCGTCATTTAGAATAGAGGCTTAACCATTTTGAGTAGTAATCCAACAAGAATATTTCTACAATACAAATCGTTTTAATTCAGTGTTGCTGAATAAGCCTATTGAATGAAAATGAGATGGTATTCAACAATATTATGAATCCTTAAGTGTTATCACAATAACATATTTATTATTTTTGGTGAGAAATTTAATTTTAGATTTATAATAATCTGTATTAGGATAATTCTAAGGTTATAGCCCAATATCATGTCCGAAGGGAACATGACACTCTCTGAAAGTTTAATTTAATATTTTTGGCCACTATTGTATGCAAAAGACTTAATTTTTTTGTTTGGCATATTTTTGTGTAAATATGAATCAATGTCAAGGTCAGCAACTGATTTTGGTTGACAGTCAAGTAATCAAAGCCTCAATGTTTTGTTATCAATTTTAGAGATGTAATTTATCATTTATGAAAATAAAACATTATTATTATATTATGTCTTTGGAAATAAGTTGATCAATAAGGTAATTTTAAAGTTTGGACTCTGAAAATGTCATTACCATAACTGTTTCAAGTATCATATCATCAATGCAATACAAAGTGAAATATTTTTTGACTTTCCTTAGAAAAGTGAACCATCATTTAACAGTTTCTTTGGAAATTACCAAGTGCTGAATAAAAAAGACATAAATGAACAGTTATTAGCATAAGCAAAATAGCAACTAGAAAGAACCAAGTTAAAAATGAAAAATTTGACAAAACGATTGTCCAGAAAATTGACAATCGTGGGGTGTGCTCCTCCCTCAAAAAAAATCCAAAAAAAGTTCCAAAAAGAAGCTTTTTAAAGAAAATTCATCCTCATAGACGAATTTCTTTATGTAATATAAAAATGAACTTATTATCATAACCAGCACTAGGGAATTCTGCCTGGGGACATGCCCTCCCTTGGATGGTGGAAAAATAATCCCGAAAAAAATTTCAAAAAACAGCTATTAGAAGAAAAAAAGAATTATAGAAAAATTCATCCTGGGGAGTGTGGGGAGCACCTGATACATAGATACATCCCCTCGAGAAAATTTCTGGATCCACCACTTGTGAGATCAATACCTCCTTTCTTGACAGATGAATATTTTGCCTTTATCAAAAATGAACAGTGATAAAACAGATTCTTCATTTTTATTTGTCATTGCTGTAACTCTTTAATACAATTAGATCCTTAAAATTATTTTAATAATAGATGCTTAACATTATTTTTTATCTCTATATTTTTGCAGCTGTTATCAATGTCTTCATGACTCTTTTTTGGCTTTTTGTTTCCTCCCTACTAAAAGGAAGAAAAGGAAAAAAATACGCTTTGAATAATATAATGTCATAACTGTAATCAAAATGTTTCTGTAATGATGTAGAGATGGTTGACCATTGATATAATATGAGAAGGAGTTAATTGGGGGGTGCGGTCAAATAAATACTAAATTAAAATGTAGTAATTATTTAATTTTTGCCGACATTTCGACCCACTTTGCAGGTCATCTTCAAGGCGTAGGATGTAGCACTGCGGGAGGCAGCTGAAATACTGCTATTATACCAGTACTAAAATACCAGTATTTCAGCTGCCTCCAGCAGTGCTACATCCTATGCCCTGAAGACGACCTGCAAAGTGGGTCAAAACATCGGCAAAAATAAAAATAATTACTATATTTTAATTTAGTAACTGATTTAATTTAGGAACTATTGGCTCTGTGGGCTAGCTGCGACTTCAAACGTATTTTCGTGATATTTATTAATCTGGTGCTAGAATTAATTAATATTCAATTATTTCGATTACAAAAATTTGAAAATAATTTAATTGAATTGAATGTATGTACGAGGGTGTGATATTGAATGTATTTAGTGACAAATAAAAAATTGTTGCGGCCTCCATTAGTATTGTCTTAACCTTACTGTGGCCTCCAAAGATAAAAAGATTCTCCGTCTATGCTCTATAATATCAGCATTACCCATTGCATTATTCTTGGTCAATGAAGACTGATTAAATCACTTTTTTTGTTTATTAAAAAATATATATTTTTTTTATAATCAATTATAATTATAATTATATAAATAATACAATGTAATTTCCTTTATCAGGAGGAATGTTGGAGTCAGATGGTGGCCCAGGAGAACTTTTCACAGAGATTATTCTTGACCAATTCACAAGACTGAGGGATGCTGATAGATTTTGGTTTGAAAATCTTGAAAATGGGTAATTTAAATTGATTATTTTAAAGGTTAAACAACTCATCCTCTTCTATCTTTTATTTTCTTCTTGGTAGAAGAGGTTGTATTAGTTTGGAAGAGAGGTGTATACTTCAATAATGTTAGGTTTTTAATTTAAGATGTCTCTGAGACAAACTTTTTAATAATTCTGATATGAGGTCATCATCTCTCACACCAACAGAAGAAAAGGTTGGAAGCTGGCTCTGCTGTCGGTCACTAGAGTGTATGGGACAGTGTCTCATGAGGCTGTACAGGTTTTAGCCGGAACTACCCTTATTGATCTTCTCCTACGTGAAGACTACTTTTGGCACAAGATGAAGATTGAAGGCCTGATGGATCCACTGGTGAATTTTCGGTGTAAGGATCAGTGAAGACCCTAATAGATGGAAGAGCATTCTTCGGGAAAACACATTAAAAGAATGGAACTAGCGATGGGTGACAACACAAAAAGGGGCTATGATAATACTTTCCCACCATTAGTTCAAGAGTAGAACAGACATGGGTTCTCCTGGATTATTGGGTCTCACAGTTCCTCACAGACAAGAGAGTTTCCGAGCAAAGCTCATTGAATATGGTAAGAACATTGATCCCTTATGTCCAAGTTGCAGAGTACTAGAGACTACCGTGCATATCATCCTTGTCTGCACCAGCTTGAAGGCATTGAGGGCCAAGTTGTTGAGGGAGACGGGGCTTTATGTTCTGACAGAGAGCGATCTCCCTTAAATGACTAAGGAAAACTACCCATGCTACAAGGCCTTCCTCTCCGGATGGAAGGAACTCGTTGGTTCAATCCACTTTTCATTGGCAAGAAAAGATGTGCCTGCATCTGGAAGACTGCCATGGTGGAAAAGGACGTCGGCTGAAAAGAAGAGTAACTAAAAAATTAAAAAATGTGGTCTAAATTCAGCTGTGAGTTGTAACGCATCCACGTTGCTATCCACTGCTGCATTACACCCATATTGTCTTACCGGCAGGGTAGGGTTCAAATAAAATAAATTAATTGTGATATGGATTTTTAAATTTTTTTTTTTTATGGTTTATTGATTTATTTTATTAATAAATAATTTGGCAGTCAAATATTTGTCTGTATGATTTCAGAATTTTCACAAAAAGTGAGATAGAGGAAATACGAAAAATAAGATTGTACGATGTAATAGTGAATGGAACCGATATCGAGCCCGATGAACTTCAAGAAAATGTTTTCTTTTTTGTGGAAGGAGATCCCTGCCCACAACCTCAGCAGTTAAACACATCTATGCTTGAACCTTGCTCGTTTCTTAGAGAGTATGATTATTTTGAGGTGATTATTTTGTTATTTATTTAATCTTATTTTATTTTTTTCATCAGAATATATGTGAATTATTATAAATGAGTCTTTTGGAGAATGTAAAGATTAATACAGAATCATTAGAAAAGTCACAAATATTGTACACAAATCCTTTTCCATGATGAAATTTATCACTGCCTTAAAATCATCTTTTTCGAGTAAACTATTTCAGAATAAATAAGAGATATGTTTATTATTATTTTAATAGAGTTATGCTCCTAGGGAAGTGAACTTGCTTACGTGTACGCTTGCGTATTCCTTGGACTTGTCCCACTGGTGACCGCAGGTGCAGGCTATGGTGTTGTTAAACTTCAAAACCGGCGGAGAAGGCAGCTTCGAATGAAGCAAGAGGAAATCAAGTCTGGGAACAAAGCATCACCAACAACTGTAGACAAAATGGCTGTTAGGTAACGTTTCAATTTGTATATACAGTGAGACTTGTTTCATTCAAAGTTGAATAATATTAATTAATATAAATATGGCATTGCAGAGAATGGCTGCATGCGAATCATAGAAGAGTTGTAAAGGTAAGATTTGGTCCTGAATCATTTCTTCATACCGTAGATAGGAAAGGAGAAAAGTTAAGATCCGTCAACTTTAAGAACACTGATACTGTTACAGTCGAAGAGACAATTGTAAGTTGTATAAATTTAGATCTTATTGTAAATGCTCAGTTGTTTTTTTTTATATTCAATAACTTATCATTTAATATATCCAGGCACCAGAACGAGGGAAAAAGAAACGTCCAATGGTACTTATCAGAATCCCTCGAGATCATGATCTTGTTTTGGAATTTGATACATTGTCAGCACGACGCAAGTTCATTAACAAACTAGATTCTTTCCTTACTTCACAGAAAAAACATCTTGTTATTTTGGAGGTAATTCAATATTTAATTATAATTTTACATTAATTATTTAATAAATAACAACATAAATTGTACAAAAGCTAAAATAATCATAATATTAATGTAGCTAAAATGTATCAATATTTATATAACTAAATTCTTAGGCTGCCCGTGAAGTGATGCTGTCTAAAGCAGAAACAAAGGAAAGACGACAAAAGCGGCTTGAGCACTTCTTCCGTGAAGCTTATTCGTTGACTTTCGGTCTTAAACCGGGTGAAAGAAGATCTTCTGGTCCAGCAGCTGATGGTGAAGTAGTCATGAGGACATCGTTGTCCAGGTACTAAATAATTTTTAAAAAACTTTACTTATTTATGCACTTAATTAAATTTAAGGATTGTGTTTACCAATTTAAATATTTATTTAACAATGTGCTAGGTCCGTAAACCTTTGAAAAATTTCAAATGCATTGGATTCTTTTAGATTTTGAATATGCAAGAAATTTATAGGTTATTATCTTAGATTGATATATTTGTATATTATCATTGAATGGTAAAAAACAATTTTTAAGGCACTTACATTCAGCAGATATTTTAAAATTGAATTGCATCTTTTTTTTTTAACAAAACCTTTCTAATTAACTAAAAATATTGTTATAACTTTTGATTTAAATAGAAATCAATGTAGTCGAGTGTTCAATGATAAGGTTGAAAGAAATTTTTTTATTACTGTCTAAGGCAAATGATAACTTTAATAGTGAATATTTAGTTGAACTATATTATGGTGTTTTTCATAATAAAACAAACGTTAGAAAAAATATACTGATGGTCTTGTAAATTATACATGTATTTATCATATTCCGTAAAACAAACATTTTTTATTCTTTCGATAATTAACTTTATTTATTTATTCAATTATATATCTGAATAATCCATATTTATTTGAATTTTTTATTATTATTTCAAAATTAATATTCCTCAGCCATTCTATTTCTGTTTAAATTATAATTAGTTTGTGGTTTTTCTAAATTTTTTAGAACAAGTTACATGAAATCAGATTATTTTAAATTTAAACATTTTGAAAACTTTGTTTGGCTTATTTTTTTACACTATTTTAGGGCTGAATTTGCTAATGCTCTAGGAATGAAAGCAGATGATGTGTTCGTTCGAATGATGTTTAATATTGTAGATAAAGATGGTGATGGAAGAATCTCATTTCAGGTACTCATACACTTTAAAAATACAATTATTTTGAATTTTTATAATGTATTTTCCTATCATTTAAAAATAATGTATAATTTATTACAATTTAGTTCCTTATTTTTGTAATTTTTATTTATTAGCACGATTTAATAATAATCATCTTGTTATTTCCAGGAATTTCTCGACACAGTCGTGCTATTTTCTCGAGGTAAAACAGAAGACAAATTGCGTATTATATTTGACATGTGTGACAATGATCGAAATGGAGTTATAGACAAGGGTGAGCTTTCAGAAATGTTACGCTCACTCGTCGAAATAGCTCGGACAACTTCCCTGTCAGATCAACATGTTACTGATCTTATCGAGGGCATGTTCCAGGTATGAGCCAGTTGATTAATATTCACAAATCTTAATTTTAAAACAATAATAATAGACTAGATGTTTATTAAATTTTGTTATTCTGAACCAAGTTTTTTATTTTTATAATACAGCTGAGTTCAGGGTCACTATTTAGTTTTTATTTATACAGATATATAACTAAAGTTAAGGTAAGCATTAGTCTCTAAACTGAATAAATATTTTTTTAGAATGCAGGTCTTCAAGAAAAAGACTTCCTTACGTATAATGATTTTAAACATATGATGAAAGAATACAAAGGTGATTTTGTTGCTATTGGTCTTGATTGCAAAGGTGCAAAGCAGAATTTCCTTGATACATCAACTAATGTTGCTAGGTAATTTTTTATCAATGTATCTTAAATTAGAAAATATACATTTTACAAATATTATCAGTGCTTTCGTACATTCTTAATGCCAATATTATTTTGACATACATTAATATAGTTATTCTAAAATCATTTTTTTTTTTTTTAAAAAGAACTGTGAATAGTATGTTAAAATAAGACTTTTTTTTATTATTTTAAATTTAACGTATTTTATCATAATTATTCTTTATTGTTTTATTTAATAATTTTTTTTCAGGATGACAAGCTTCCACATTGAACCAATACTGGATGATGAAAAACATTGGCTGAAACTGAAATGTGACGGTATTGTCACATTTTTAGAAGAAAATCGACAAAATATATTTTACCTATTTATTTTTTACGTTATCACCATCGCTCTTTTTGTTGAAAGGTTTATACGTGAGTTCAAACATTTTTTTTTACAAATATTCTTTGGAAATATTTTATTTTTTATATAGTTAATGCATTAACTATTTATACTTAACTATTATCACCTATAGAAAAACGAAGATAAAGTTTCCTTAAAAGATCCTTTTATTTATATTTTTATTTCTTTAGAATAAGAACTTCAGTAGATTTTATGCAATTTTGATTAAAATTACAACAAGTTTAATTGTTATTTGATTTCAAAATGGTTTCCTTGATGAGTTTATTTTTAATGTTTCAGTTAATTTCTTAATATATTTTATAATAAAGTCAAATAGAGCTCAATTATATACCATTTATGTACACAAAAAATAATTGATTTGGTAAAAAAAGATATTAATACATCTGATTATTGCAGATTACTCCTTCATGACAGAGCACACAGATCTGCGCCATATCATGGGCGTTGGGATCGCCATCACAAGAGGATCGGCCGCTTCGCTTTCCTTTTGCTATTCACTTGTGCTGCTGACTATGTCAAGAAATCTACTTACGAAGCTGAAAGAGTTTCCTATACAGCAATACATACCTTTAGGTAAAAATATATAACTACAATGTTTAGCTTTTGAGAGCGGATTCTCTGATATCATTAACTGTTGTATATTCACTAAATTTATATTATTTTGATCTGTAGACTCTCACATTGTATTCCACAAGATAGCAGCATGTACTGCTTTGTTCTTCTCACTGCTGCACACGGTCGGCCATATCGTTAACTTCTATCATGTCAGCACTCAGCCTCTGGAGCACCTCCACTGCCTCACGTCAGAAATGCACTTTCCATCGGACTACAGGCCTGGCATAACCTTCTGGCTTTTCCAAACAGTTACTGGTATTTTATTATGCTTCTTCGTAGGTCTATTTTTTTTAATTTAAAATTTCTGGAATTTATTTAGTTGATTGCTAGCTAGTTTTTATTTCAAAAATGTTTTTGAACATTATTGGTCCTGTCAATCAAAAATATAGGATTGTTTTTAATAGAGTGATAGCTTCAGATCTTTCATTGAATCTGATTATCTTAATAAGTTTATTCAGATTAGAGCATTATTTTTTTCATTCACTAACTTTTAATTGTAAGATATTTAATTGTAAGTGCTGTGTTTCTTTGGGCGATAAACCAATGGTCTACATAAAATCTAACCAATTACTGTTTGGTTTTCATTTTTATACCCTATGTTAATATCATTTTGGAATCAATTCATAAAATTTCATTACCCTGAAAAATAAAATAAAACAAAGAATTAAATCAAAATAAAACAACAAAATATACTTTTGTTATCATTGAAAACGTTGTATTTAGTGTAAAAGTATAAATTTAATGTGATTGTTGACTGTGATAAAATGCAATCATACTGGTACTTATTTGGAACTAATTTGTCAAGTGGTCCTTTTGATCCATTTTGGTTACCCCTGATGATTACCTACAGTAGCGGTCCTCAAACTTTTTTCGCAGCACCCTTCTAGGACTAAACAAAATTTGTAAAACATTTATCTTTATAATTGTATAAGGTATTTTAATAGAATCTTCACCAATTTTTTGTGTCATAAATATAAATGAAATACAATTTAGTCCAGTTACTATCTTAAATTTGAATGATGGTGATATTGTTAACTGTTAGAAGAAATTGTTGAAGAGAAATTGGTTACAGATGGTTGCAGTCATGGAAGTACAAAAAGATAAACTATGTTTAGTATTTAATAGTTGACCATTGCATTATAAAAAAAAGGAGATGGTCCAGGGTGGCGATCAAAAATAGGCTAAATAGTGGTAAAACTATTTTATTATTTCAGTTATAAGTGAAACTCCTAGCTGAACACACCTCCCTGAAGAAGACCTGCAAAGTCTGGTCGAAACGTTGGCTTTCAATAAAATAGTTTTACCACTATTTAGCCTATTTATGAACGCCACCCTGGACCATCTCCTTCTTATAAATTATATTTATTTTCTTTGTGCTTACATTTTGGTCCAAGTTTCAGGTTTTTATCAGAATTAAGCATATATGAAATAAATACTGAGAAAATAATAAACAGTAATAATAATATGTAGATAGTTAAATAAATAAATATATCGAATGAGAAATATAAAATATAGTTCTCATTTAAATTAAAGATAAAAACTTTCTGTTTTATTTTAAATTAGCCTGACTGATACTATGTTAATATGATACTGATAATATGTAATCCTTATAAAAAAATTAAAGAACTAAATATCATTTAGCTTATTTTTTCTGATTTATTTGTGATGATAATGTAAAATTCTCAAAATTTTGATAAATTAATTCCGTTCATAACTTGAAATATGATTTGATGTTACAGGAATAACTGGGGTACTACTCTTTGTAGTGATGACGATAATATTTGTTTTTGCTCACCCAACAATCCGTAAAAGAGCATACAACTTTTTTTGGTCAACGCATAGCCTTTATGTTGTGTTGTACACACTTTGCTTGATTCATGGCCTCGCGAGATTGACTGGTCCTCCACGGTTCTGGCTATTTTTCATCGGACCGGGTTTGGTCTATACACTTGATAAGGTTTGTAAATAAATATACTTTTAATTCTACGACAATGATATTATAAAAAACATTTTTTTTTTAATATTTAACATTTTTTAGGTGGTTTCTGTTCGTACAAGATACATGGCCTTGGATGTTTTAGAAACAGAGCTTCTTCCATCCGATGTGATCAAAATTAAGTTTTACAGGCCACCTAACTTTAAATATTTGTCAGGTAACATTTAATTTTATTTTCAAAAATATGCAATAATTATTACTCTTTATTTCATTATTGGACTTATTCTTTCCTGGTATTTTTAATAACCATATGAATAATATTGAAACAAAGACTAGAAGCCTTTAAGATAGATGAATAATGTTGCAATTAATGTTTAAATTTTTCGATAATTTCTTCAATAGATCTTTCAGCTATAACATTAATTATTTATTTAAAAAATAATTTTCAGGTCAGTGGGTTCGATTAGCCTGTACTTCCTTTTCCGACGAGTATCATTCATTCACTTTGACTTCAGCACCACATGAGAATTTTCTTTCTTGTCATATCAAAGCTCAAGGTCCATGGACATGGAAGCTGAGGAACTATTTCGACCCTTGCAACTTTAATGCTGATGTAGAGCAACCAAAGGTTCAGAAATATACTTCTTCTTAATACCATATCGCTCATCCGAGGAAACAACGATGTAACTGTAAACTTATGAAAAAATCGTCACGGTTAAATTGTAATAAAGAGATGTTTAATGAAATCGATACCATAACCTAATATAAGCAACCTTTGAATGGATGGAATAATTTTATACTGATACAATCAATTTTATAAATTATTTTACTTTAATAATAATTCTAATTATTTACCCTCCTGATTTGCAGTTACATCATTATTCTACCAGATAAGCAAACATTTTTCATAGTATTAATATTATATAATAATTTACTTTATTTCAAATTAAAATACAGAGATTATTCCTATCACTATTCCATTTTATCATAATGTTCATTGATAAACTCAACCGAATTCATTCATAATGTTAACGAAATGTAATTTACAATATCTGTCTATCATTGACTTGTGTCTATTTTATTTTTTGGAGTATTCTGGGATATTCTCAGTTATCATTAATAATCATTATGCTTTCTTGCTTCCAATATACCTGACTCTGTATTTCACACATTTAAAAACAGATGAAATTTTATAAACAATTGAACTTCTGAATTTCTTCTTATATATTTTTTTTAAAAATGTTATAGTTGTTTCCAAAACTAATTTTTCGAAATGTTAGTGGTGGTAAACAACCTTTCAACCCTCTAATTCGATTTCCAGAGGCTTTAGAGGTATGCAAAACCTTTTAAATTGCATTAAAAGTGATACCCCCAAAAAGAACTTCTGTAAGACCAATTAAGTTCATGTAGAAATTTTCAATTCTTGTAACTTAATTTTCAGGGACTGTAAAGGTGTTAACTTATTTGAATTTACATTGTATTTTTCTAACAGCCGTACATAACAAATTTCAGGTCAGTTGATCCGAAGGAGAGTGGAGGTTAATAATGAAAGAATATATATATCAAACATCCCTAAACTTATTTAAAATGCATCTCTGATGAACTTTGATACAGTGGTAAAGAGTATCACTTTTAGAAAAAAAAACATGAAAAAAATAATTAATATCTTGATCAATTAAACCTAATACATATAATAAAATAGAGAATATTTATTAATATAACAAATTATTTTCACAGATCCGTCTTGAGGGTCCTTATGGAGGTGGAAATCAAGATTGGTACAAGTTTGAAGTTGCCGTGATGGTTGGAGGTGGTATTGGTGTCACACCTTATGCTTCCATTTTAAATGATTTAGTGTTTGGAACATCGACAAATCGTTACAGTGGCGTAGCTTGTAAAAAGGTAATAAATCGTCATAATTGTTAAAAAAAATATTTTATTTAGATATATAATATTCTGTCGAATGAACAATAATTATAGTTATAAATGAAAACATTTACACCATATATACAGAAAATATAAAATTAACAAAAGTAAAATAATAATAAAAAACTATGTACAATAAAAAAATAAAATAACCTAATGATAAGTAAATTAAAATCATAAAAACACAGTCATACCTATATACAATATATACAATCAGGCAGGAAACACAAAGCCAGGCTTCTCCCTCGAACTACAGAAGGAAAATCAGGACTCCTAGAGATCCATGCGCTACTCTCTCAACCGCGTCACTGGTGCTAAAGCCAGTGGAGAATTGTTAAAATTATATTTTTGGGGGATTGTAAATGTGAACAAAATGTAATTAAATATTTAAGTACTTACTCTCTTATTAATTTTGTTTTCCAGGTCTATTTTCTTTGGATTTGCCCATCTCACAGACATTTTGAATGGTTCATAGAAGTCTTGAGAGATGTTGAAAAGAAAGATGTGACTAATGTTCTTGAAATACACATTTTCATTACGCAGTTCTTTCACAAGTTTGATCTGAGAACTACTATGCTTGTAAGTCATACTTTTTGAATTAAAATTATTTTAATTTGAATAAATTTTGCTATTATTATAAAACAAACAATAGTTATGAGATTCAATATTATGTTGGCTAAAATCTATTATAAATTTGAATTGTCGTACTAAATGGTAGAGATTTACAAAGAATCTTATTTTTTTCAGTATATTTGCGAAAACCATTTCCAAAGACTGTCGAAAACAAGTATGTTCACGGGACTGAAAGCAGTGAACCACTTTGGACGCCCTGACATGTCTTCTTTCCTAAAATTTGTACAGAAAAAGCATAGTTATGTAAGTTTTTATTAGTATTAAATAATACATTTTAATTAAAAATGTATAATTTTAACATGATAATTTTAAAAATATTAAAAACTTGTTTTGTTTTTTAACAGGTTAGTAAAATTGGAGTGTTCAGTTGCGGACCTAGACCACTCACTAAGAGCATAATGACTGCTTGTGACGAGGTAACGTTTTATTCATAAAGTAACTTTATATATTTTTTGTGTGATTGGAATTACAGATCTTATATATCTTATAACTATGCACAAAAACATTTTTTTTTAACTTAATATTTATTAAGTTTGCAAATAAAAAAAATAAAAACATCAACACTATTTACAAATAATGCATTCAAATAAAACATTAAGAAAAATATTTTCTCACAGTGGATTATACTACCCTCTAAAATAAATTAAAATTAGTTATATGAAATTATTTTGTTTCAGGTAAATAAAGGAAGAAAGTTACCTTACTTCATACACCATTTCGAAAACTTCGGCTAATCGTTAATTTTGTATATTATTGTACAAACAAAAGATGTGTGGAGCTGTTGTATAATTGTTATAAATATATTTATATAGTTTGAATGTATGTATGGTACTTAAGCGATTGTGCAATGTATTTATTAAGTTTGTATAATGAAAATATTTTTAACAAGTTTGAGTACATTTTTTTCTCAACCTTACTTTATGTTTGATATTATATTTTTGGAACATCTCGCATTATGCCAGAAGTAAATGAAAAATCTAATGATATTAAAGCTCTTACATTTTTTTTAAATTTTAAACTTAATTTTTTAATTTCTATTCGCACTTAAGTGTACGCCTTAAGGTCAGTTTAGTAAAAATCAAAATTAACTTTTGATAGTTATTTATTGTGTTTTAGGGAATCTGTGTTTCCCTCTTCAGAAATCTAAAAAATACAACCAATATATTTGAGATTCAATTTAGAAACCAGTCATTATTAACTAAAACACATAACACATAAAAATTTTTTTTAAATAAACATAAATTATTTTACAAACATTTGTTAAAAATATTGTTAACTTAATATATAAGATAGAAGCAAGGCTCAGATTTTTATACAGTAAAAAATCACAGAATATGCCATATAATATGTATAATATATATAATATGCAGTGAAAACCTTGAAATATGCAGTAAAAAAAAACCATGAAAAATGCAGAAACTGGTCTCTATATATACTAAACTTACTTATTACTTGAAAACTAATAAGTCAATAACATATTTAAATATAATGACATGCCTTCAAAAAGTTTTGAAACGAAAAAAAAATTATGGAGAGATTGAAAATTACAATAATTTTTTTTTTTAATATCTGAATTAAAGAAAGAAAATAACTAAACATATACGGCTAATAAGGTTATAATATAAATATGTACATTATAACCGTAACGAAAGCGGAACATGAATCACATTAAAAAAATTTAAATATCAAAGTATATACAAAAAAAAAAATTGAATTAACATAATTAAATAAGCATAGTAATAAAATATAAGAAATATTGAACAATAAGTATATAAACGCTTTTAGTCTATTGAAACAATAAAATAACAAATTGTGGAATAAATAATATAAAATAGATGAAATATTTGAATTAATCTACTTTGTCGACATGTTCAGTATTAAAATTAATTACCACAATCATTGCTAAATTTACTTCTGCGAAGCATAACCTTTTATTATTAAAAAATGATCTTTCTACATAAATAGGCGTGATAGGAGCAAATTTATATCCACTTAAAATTACCGGGTTGATGTCAATGTTGCTGGGAACAATTAAATCTTAGCTATTTCAAAATTGGTGTCCATCAGTTGTAAAAACTATTTCGTGTCTGTTGTTTTAAGGTTTTATTTAAGATTTCAACAGTGATGAATAGTTTTGATCATCAATAGATACGTTTAGCATTTTAAATGTACAGTAATGATGTTTACATGGGACTAGAAGAAAAAATGGATCTCTAGAAATTGGAGAACATCCTTTAATAGAATCATTAAAGGGTACAGCGAATGGTAGGTATACAGTCTACAAATCTAGTATTCACCACAAATATTCCTTTATATTTAATGATTGCTCCAGATGTTTTTTTATAAATAAATTTTCTTTTATTCCTCTTTTTATTGTATTTTTTCTTTGCCAAGTATAAAAATTAAATAACTATCAAAAGCTAATTTTGAATTTTTTGATACTGACCTTAAGGTATGCATGTAAGTGTAAATAGTCACTTAAAGCTTTTTAAATAATTAATGTTGCAATATAATTTATTTTATATTTCTGGAGAATTTCTTGTTCAGAATAGAAGAAAAAAATTGAAATGGATTAACTTTTTCTTATAATTTTGAATGGTTTTCAAGATAAACTATTTTCTTGGAAAAACAAAACAGTAAAATGCCTCTTATAAGTATGCGGGAAGGGTGGTTCAGAACGATTTAGCTGAACATAATATAACTTGGAACATATGTTATATTTTAGATATAAATTAACATTTTTTTTAGTGGGGGAGGGAGGGTTGATTTTGGAATAATTTATCAAATTTTGTTGAAACTTGATAACTTTTCTTATTAGCTTACAAATAATTCATTGGGAAAATTTATGCTCTTCTTGATGGAATGAGTAGGAAATTATTCCTCTTTAGTTCCACATAATTAATTTCTGCAACTATCTTCATAACTAATTGTTGGTATATTTGAATTATATCACTCAAATCAAAGTCTAGATAATGTGTAATTGATCTTTTTTTCTCTAGAATTAACTGGTTATTTAGATCTTTAGCTATCTGAACTAATCTTCTTCTCCATCTTTCCAGTCTTATAGAATCTTTCTTGATTCTATGTAGATGTTTTTAGCATCCTGAGTGAATTTTCACCAGCTGTTGTGGTATTCATGGTTGTATAGAGGTTTGATCAATATAAGTAAAAATTTGAAATCAAGAAAGTTCTAGAGTATTAAATTTAGTACAAATTTTTGAAGTGAAAACTTCTTGAGGCACGTTTTGCACTTTTTTTGTTGGGAGAAATGAGACTGTGCAGTCATACTCAGATGTGTAATGCTCATTTGGGCAGGGTCGAGTAATTGAAGTATTTTTGCATATGGATAAAAATATCTGAAAAACTAAAAATCAGACTTGTATACTGTAAGAGAGGGAAATGTTCAGCATTTGATTCGCCTAGCAATGAACTATTATTCAAAAGAGTATCTTAGTACAATGCCATGTTAGAGAGGTGAAAAGGGAAAAAAATAGTGTCGAAAACCAAATGATCGGACCTGCATTCTGTGAGGGGTGACAATATTCAGCATTTTATTCTCTTTCTAATGAGCTATAAATCAAAATTATATGTTGAAATGATGTGGAGTTAGAGACTAGGAAAGAGAAAATGATTACACCAAAAAATAAAATAATAATAACTGTTTGAACATCAGGATTAAAATATCTCAAAATTTTAGTACCATGGGGAATCCAGAAACTGATTTGGAGAAGTCATTATAGATATGTTTTTTTTTTTAAATAGCCATAAACATACAGAAGTCATATTAAAAAAATGATGGAGTTTTTGATAGCTATTTAGCAAATTTCTATCAATTTCATTTAATCATAAATAAAAAATTTCAATCATAAGTATTCAACACATATTTTAGTTATCATAAACCTATTGCATACTTTTTGGGGTATGATACAAATGATGATCATTTAGAACAATGTTTACTACAGTAATTTATACACAATTATAATTCTACTTATTATAAATGTTATTAATTTATGAATATAGAACCAAAAATAGTTTATACAGAACTATAATTATACATATTGTAAATTTTATTACTTTGTAAATGTAGAAAAGTTCAGGGAAATGTTCAGCATGTCATCCTCTTCATAATGAGCTATTATTTATAATTTATATTTCCTGTTGCTGATCTTGTCTTGTTGATGTTTTCACTTCTATTGTGTTGTCTAAAGCACACACTATTCTTTATGTAGTTTTTTTCAACTTGGGAATTTAAAAAAGTTTTTGAAAATATTTAATTTGATATTCGGCTATAATTGGGTCATTACATATACTACCTTTATTTTGGTATTCAATTCATCTGCGCTTTCACTGTGATTTTAATGTTTAAAACAAATAACCAGTGATATAAGGTGTCGCACAGTAATCCAACATCAATGATATGAAGCTTTAAATCTTAAGATTTAAATTTTATATATTAGGCATTTATATAATTATTCTGATGAAATCAAGAAATATGTACAAAATTTTGTCGATATAATCATTTCTGCATGTTATTAAAAAATTACAAGGTGGCTAGATCAGTTATTTCTGGAAGTGTATATAGGTATAAATAAGTATAACTCGCAAATATGAGGAAATAGGCAACTTATCAATTAATTGGCAATAAATAGGCACAATAACATGTTTTTTGCTTTTAATATCTTACATGTTGTGTTTAGAGACATAAAAAATTATAAATCTTTCACACAAAAATACAGTTTTTTATTCTGTGGTTGAGTGGTTCCACAGTAGATCGCACTACGTTCGCATAATTTGAATTAGTTATTTTGATTGCACGATAGATCGCACCACTTACACATATAAAACTCGAAAACCACAGAAGCTCATTGTTATCTCTATAATTGTTTTAATTTCTGTTATTATAAGTAATTTTTTTTTTTACTATCCTACTACTACTGCTGATGTGCAGTTTTCAACGAATCTTTAGGTTCAAGAGCCCTTTAAGTTCGAAAAACATATTTTCTGCCATTATTCTGTCTGTCTGTGCTTAGATTATTTCGAGAACGAGTGGACCGATTTCATTGCTTATTTTTATATATTATTATTGATATATATTATCATATAAAGCCTGTAAACAAACTGTGCCCTTTTTAATGAATAGCAGCTTTGCAATAAGAGAAATACTTGTTTTGACTAGTGTTGCCCCAATGCGAGACCAAGACTCGTCTTGGTCTTTCTCATCCAGTCTTGGGCTTGGTCTTGCGCAAGAGTCTCGCAACAGTCTTGCAGTTACCTATTAGCATATTACTATAGAGATATCACTGTATTTTTTTAGATAGGAGAAACTTAACTAAGCCCGAATGAAAAATTAGAAGAGTTAAATGCAAAAGTATATTGGTTATACCAATTCTTTATATATATTAACTAAAATTGTAAAGTATTAGTAACAATTTCGCCTTAATTTTTATTCGAAAAAATCTATTTTTCTTACCAGCTTTGGTCTTGGTCTTGCAACAGTCAGGCGGTCGTGGTCTTGGACCACCAATTTTGGGCAACACTAGTTTTGACAGTAGCGCAAAAATGGTTCTAATAATTTTGATGAAACTTTCGTATAATCTTCTACTTCAAGTCCTTCCAGTTTTCGTGCATGAAGTGAATTTCCGAGAAAATTGCAGAAAAAAGTTGTAAAGAACAGAATTATGTCTTAGTGTTTAATTCGCAAAGTGCACATTCTAGTGTGAAATTATATAATATCTCTTTAAAGATCGGATAAAATTTCTGATGGGCAGTTTTCAACAAATCATTAGGTTTCAGAGCCCTTGAAGTCCGAAATACATTTTTAGTATATTTTTTAAGGTTAATTAAATTTCCGACACAACCCCTCTCCTCCCCTCCCCAAAAAACATATC